TTTATAAATTTTTAGAGCACTTTTGAAATCAGATCTATTACTTTCTATGTTCTGAGTAATAGTAAGAAAACTAATATGATAGACTTAGGCATAAGAATTTCTACCTTAACTTCAGCGTTGCAGGCCATAGTATTTTGAATAAGCTATATAACCGTACTTCAGAGTCCTTTACGTATATTTCTTCTTATCAACCTTCATACTACCAAAAATTGTAACTATGAATTTAGGATTAGTGCATTTTAAGTATTGTCATTAGTATGTTGAAGGCTGAAAATCGATTTCGTCATCTTATTTTATTATTAGTAAAAAATTATTTATTATTAGAAAATGTTTGTGAACCTTTTCATGAAGTCTTAATGTATAAAGTCATTAATCATATTACCGATTGAAAAGGTAGATCTAGTTGAATCGATAATGTTTTAATTTTCGAACACAGATAATGTGTATCTAGATCAGGGATGGCCTACTTGCGGCACGTGTGCGACGATGTGGCACGACGGAGTTTTAACACTGACACGCGAAGACTTACTGAAAAATTAAAAGATTTGAAAAAGTAATTATGCCGTCTGTATCAACTTCGTCGATAGATAAACACATAAACACATTAGAATAAATATAATAATTCAGTTTCTCTGCAAGTCCTTAATTGTTTTCGTGAAATTCAAGTCGAAATTATTGAAATACAGCGACATACTACACTAAAAAGCAAATAAAAGGATCTTATTTCAACTGTAAGTTCTCCAAATTATATTGAATTTTAGAAATTTGTACCAATAAGCAATTTTCTAAATATACACGATTTGGGTGTCAGATATCGTTTGGATCAACATTTGTGAACAAATGTTGTCTATTATGAACATAATAAAATCAAAATATTGCTCAAGATTAACTGCTATGCACATAAAACACCTAATTTTGTTAGCATCTTAGAACTAATTCTTATATAGACGACTTGGTAACAAAGCTGCATATTCAAAAGCTACATTAATTAAGTACTGACTGTTTAATAGTTATTTTGAATTAAATATTTCAAATTATTCATTTTTATTTTATACATAACCTAACTGACTGAACCTTTAAAAATGTTTTTTAACAATAAAATCCTTGTTTGTATTTTTGTTTTATTTATATTACTTTTTAAATGTCGAATACTCAGACTTACAAAAAAAGTGCTATTTGCGTAAAAATCTCATAATTAGCCTATAAGCAACATTTTTTCACCTTTTTTTTATTTTTTAGTATGTTGAAAAGAGTTGGAAGTGGCACGCATAATTTTTTTCAGATAGTGGCACTTTTACAAAAAAGGTTGGCCACCCCTGATCTTGATAGCAGAAGGAAAGTAGAAGCACTTCTGAAATGAGTTTAGACGAGTGAATTTCAATTCCGCTGTCAAATGATACAGTAAGTCGACGAATTAATGAAATGAGATTCCCGTAAAAGAGACACTTATTCAAAAAATAGAACACAGTGAGTATTTCGCTTTGCAATTAGATAAAAGTGCTCATATAACGAAATGTATTCAATTATTAGTTTACTTACGTTTCGGAAAAGATAAACGGTAATTGCGGAAGACTATTTGTTTTGCGAATCTCTTCATGATAGAGCAACTGCAAATGAAATTTTCAAAGTAACTGACAGTTTTATGTCTGAGAATGATATTCCTTGGAATAAATGAATTACCGTAGTCAGTGACGAAGTTCGGGCTTTAACAAGAAAACATTCAACTGTTATTTCTCAAATAAAGAAAGTCGCACCTGCAACTAAATTTACTCACTGTTCCATTCATCGTGAAGCTTTAGTAGCCAAAACGATCCCCGAACACCTGATCGTTTTGAATCAAACTGTAAAAATTCTTAATTTTATTAAAAGTCGAGCTTTAAATTCAAGAATATTTACGATTTCATGCCAAGCGATGGGCAGTGAACATAAAACGCTTTTGTTTCATTCTGAAGTAGAGTGGTTATCCAGAGGCAAAGTTTTAAAACGTCTTTTTGAACTTCAATTAGAAGTTCAAATTTTCCTCTACGATTCAAAATTAACTTCAAAAATGTTTATTTAGCGAATTATATAATTGGCGAATTTAGTGAATTATATTATTGGCGGGTTTAGCGTATTTAGCTGATATATTTGGAAAGTTAAATGAATTAAATTTGGGATCACAAGGACAAAGTTATAATTTGTTTACCATTAGAAATAAAATAAATGTAATCATTAAAAATAATAATTCAAGCTAATAATCAAAGAATTGGCTAATAATATTTTAAGCTTTAAACCATTTTTAGAAAGTTTTCCAACCGAAAATAATTTGAAAATAAAAGAAGAATTAGCATCCGACATTAAAAATCATTGTTTTTCCTTGGTAAAGAATTTCAGCACATACTATTTTTCCGAGGATTATGAAAAAGAAAATTGGGTTAGAAGTCCATTTTGTTCAATTACATTTTGCTCAAATGTACCTGAAATTTTATCTCGTGAAGAAAAAGAACAATTGACAGAAATTTAATGTAATCGAACTCTAGCTGAAGATTTAAAAAATAACCTACTTGTTAACTTTTGGCTGAACCCCCCCCCCCCACACACACAAAAAAAAAAAAAAAAAAAAAAAAAGAATATACCGGGTGGCCATAATTAAACTGACAGTGCTCACAGTGTTCTGTAACGCGATCTATTTGCGAGAATGACGCCACATTTTGTAGGAAGATTAAACAAGACGGGGGACGAAGGATTCAGCGAAAAAAAAATTAGTTCCAAAAGTCACCGCTAGGGGAATATTTGACGCTGTTTAATCGCAAAAAGAGTGTTAACAAATGCAAATTAACACGGAATAAAATTACCTTTTATTATGGATATGCTTTATGGAATATGGATATGCCTTACAGTACGGTATGGAAAATCTTACGAAAGATTATCAACTTCTATCCGTACAAGATCAGCCGTGTACAGGAGTTACTGTACCCCGACTATGATAAGCGATTGACTTTTGCTCTCACCTTTCTTGCCAGAATGGAGGTGGATGATGCTTGGCCGTGGAAAATCTTATGGGGAGACGAGGCCCACTTTTACCTGAATGGAACTGTCCATACACAGAACTGCCGAGTTTGGGATGACAAATCACCACATGCAGTCACAGCAATTCCCTTACATCCACCAAAGGTAACTGTTTGGTGTGGGTTCACAGCGGAATTTATCGTAGGTTCATTCTTCTATGAGAACATTACCCCGACAGGACCGGAAACCTGTTCTGTTACCGTAGAGAAATATCGCCACATGTTGAACAGCTTTGTCATTCCGGCACTTCAGCAAAGACATGCCTGGGGGAAATCATTTTCATGCAAGATGGAGCCCCTCCACACGTTGCTGTACGGGTGCAACAGATGCTACGACAGAAATTCACAACAGAAAGAATCATTAGCCGCTACTTTCCAACTGCATGGCCACCCCGGTCGCCTGATCTTACCCCATGCGACTTCTGGCTATGGGGTTACCTTAAGTCCAATGTCTAAAAGGAGTGGTCCAGGACCTGGCTACGTTGAAGGATAACATATCACGAACTGTACGGGAGATTTCTGCAGACATGTTACTTTCAGCTGTTGTGCATACTGTGCACAGAATGCAATATGTGGTCCACAACAACGGCAGCCACATTGAACCTCATTTGAATGCAAAATAAAGGGTAATTTCCGTATTGATTTGCATTTCTTAACACTCTATTTTCTATTACACAACGCGAAATATTCCTCTAACGGTGACTTTTGGAACTAATTTTTTTTTTCGCGGAATCCTTTGTCCCCCGTCTTGTTTAATCTTCCTACAAAATGTGGCGTCATTCTCGCTAATAGATCGCGTTACAGAACACTGTGAGCACTGTCAGTTTAATTATGGCCACCCGTTATATTATATATATTTTACAGACATAAAGTAAGAAATTTAGAACTAATATTTTACAGAAGATTATAGAATTATACAACTAAAGTTATTGCATTTTTATTGCCTTTTTGCACAATCTATTTATGTGAACAATGATTTTATCTCGTGTTATAGTATTTGAAAAATAAATTTAGAACAAAATTAAAAGTAGATCCTAATTTACGGTTAAAACTAAGTGAAATAAAACCAGACAAAAAGAAATTGATCTTTCTTAAACAGGCCCAAATTTCGTACTAAAGTTTAAAGTTTTGTAACTAAAATTTTCATAATTAAAATGGTAACCAATTTTTAATCTGATATTTTTTACGTGTGCATACTTAATACAAATAGCCAATAAGTTGTACAAATGACAATATATGTATATATATATATATATTTCTATTGAGAAATTGAAAAATAATCATTGTAAAACGTAGTTCCTATAAACGTAGTGTAAACGCGAGTTCAACAAATTTTGAGAACTAAAAATTCAGTTCTCAGTTTTTAGTTCACAGCTGAATTCACAGTAGCACGAGTTTGCGTTTTAATTGCGCTTTTCATTGAGTTGCGTTTAACTTTCTCAGTAGTTTGAAGGTTAACTACGGATTGTGCTCTGCGATAGAGAAGAGCTGTGCAAGTATTTTTGTGGAAAGTTACATAACTGGTAAAATGTTTCTTTTGGGAAAATAAATTTTATTATCATCGGTTCTGTGTGCATTTAATCCATTACGAAACCGTATGGAAGCAAAAATATTTTAATGATTTTTTTCCCCTTGTAAGATACTTATAATTCTGCGCGATCAGCAAATATGCCAATTTTACATAATTTTTTTAGGTATCATTATTTAATGTAATTTTGTACTTTCAAGAAGAACGTATTTGACAAGCTTTGAACAGATTAAAATCTGTGATTTTCTTCAAATTCCTAAAGATATGTAAGAGTTTCAAAATGATCGTAATTTTCTGATTTGAATGATAGTTTCTTTTTTCATAACTATCTTATATATAAAGAACCTTGTTCTCAGTGTGTACTTGCATATAGTCCATTTTTATAGTATGTGCTTTTGCTGTCACAAATGAAATAAAAAATAATGTATAGACTTGATAAACTTTATTCACAATCGGTAACACATTTCTACAACACTATTGTTTGTTTCCTATGACGAAATTTGAACGATCTTTTGTTTTAGACTGCAAATCTGCTTATTGTTAACTCAATGATTTTGTTGCACAGAAAACATAAAAACTGAGTGAAATGAGAATTCAATGTATCATTTCAGGCAATATTAAATTTCTAGTACAGCTACTTAAGAAATACAATATTTTTGGTTAAGAAACCCCCCCCCTTTTTAGGAAAAAATCGTTTATTCTTTATAAAATACTTTATTACATTTTTATTATTAACCTTCTTACATGCTTTGTTGCAAGACAGAAGGTATAAAAATAAAAATGTCCATTTGCATTTACACTGAACGCTCATTTCACGCAATGCAGTTGCGCTGAAGAAGAAAGCCAGCAAGTTAAAATACTTCAGTAGTTGATTAACAATTCAGAGTTTTGCAGTCTTAATATCTTCTTGTGATTAAAATTGAATTTTCAAGCTGCCTCACGGGGAAACACACGCACATACACACGGACAATGTAGTGATGTCTGTACAGTTACAGAAAATTTGTCTTCAGTTCATAGATGTAAACAAAACATTTTCCTGTTTTCTTGAGATTTTCTTCGCACCTTTTGCATTTCCAAGTAACATATGAAGCAATAAAAATGAAATCTTTCAAACAGGAACCTGAAACAAATAAATAAAACATTAACAATGTTTGTAATAACATAATGTTTACAAGAGACTAAAATGTGAACATTTCAATACGAACACGTTTTAAATTGCTTTAGAGATTAAGAGTACGTTAGTTTACTTAAATTGCTGTAACGTCATGATATTAAAGAATTTTCTCCTTTTAAATTTGAAGGTTTGTTTGTGTATTATGCTTGCATATTTAATTATATGCTGTGGCATTTATGTTTGAGTTTAATAACGAAGTGATAGTTAATTTAATTTTTTCCTTTCTGCCTCTTTTTGCAACAGGTTTACTCATTCCAGATTCTGAGCGTCAAGCATGTAGACTGCACTTATGGCAAGCATTGTAGGCACTTACGGCAAGCATGTAGATGGTAGTTATGTAGATTTTGAGTGACTATATAGTGCAGAATTTTACATAATTAACACGCATGTAAAGAAGTAAAGAGTAAATTAACACTAATGTAAGAAAACATGACCTGTTTCCGCTGCCCTGCCGATCGATGAAAAGACTATACTTGATAGTTGTAATTCTGTCGAGGTCTAGGAATCTCATAATCTCTGCCCAGGTTAGATTTAAACTGTAGAATTATATCCTTTGTGAAAGGAAGTTTTATGTTGAAACATCCAGATTTACTAGGAAGTTTATGGGTACTTACGTGTTTTCGTTACCACCTTAGTAGAAGTTGCCAAACTTTGAGTGTGTTTAGCTCTGGCAACCATGCTCATAACAATCCTTCATTCAACTAACGTCGCCATCTCTTTATTCCTACGGTTCCAATGATTTTTATTAACAAATCGAGATATTTTCTGCCTTAAACATAATTTAAAAATATGCGCTTGTAAAATTTTCCAGAAGTGGAAGAAACTGCGGCAAAATTTCTGCAAGGGTATAGAATTTTGCCGCAAAACCTGTAAAGGGAAGAACGAGAAGATACGTTCTGTAGATACACGGAGTGCGAGAGGAAACATTTTTAGAATTTAGAAATTCGTCGAGCAGAAAAATTTAGGGTTGGCGAAATTTTTAGAACTTACGGAAGGCATTCAAGATTATAATTTAGGGGTGACAAAAATTTTAGAAACTGGGGAGGCATCGGGCAGCAGAATCTAGGACCTGCGGAGATTGCTCGGAGCAGAAAAATGCCTAGCGCCCGTCCTGCCAGTATGCTTGTATTTTTTAGACATAATTACTTAAAATTTATTTAATGTGCTATTGGCATTGTTAATTAAGTCAATAGAAAAAAATTATATTCGTTTTTTAAAATCCTGGTTTTTAGAGCTTGCGTAAGCTTTACCTTAATAAAGATAAATCTTGAAATTCACAATTAATGAGATGGATGAGCTCGCCGATGCTTGCATAGTTGTTCTATGTTTGGATGTATGGATATAAGAAGCACCACAGTCATAATGCTATAAATACCTCTTCTATTGTTAGAGTGGGAACTTCGTAGATGGAATAACAGGTAACAAATTTCGTGAAATGTCAGTCTTGGCACAAAAAGTAATACATGACTGCATTTCTGGTTTACAAATTGAGATCTACATATACTCGCATAATTATTTTTTCTTTTGAGAAATCTAGGTGGCTCACAAGACAAGGCTTCCAAGACCACTTGAGGGCTGCGGACTGGTTTGTAAAACACTGTTCTACATCTGTATGATGGCATTGGATATTTAAAAATCTTTCTAATTTCACGATGAAGTAAAAGAATAATAATAAAACATTTGTTACAAATTCATGGAAGGGGAAAAAAGTATCTTATTTATTTCAAGATCTAAAAGCAATAAATTTAATAAAAAAGACGTAAAGTTCGAATTTAATATAAAAAGAAGCGTTTTCTTTCAGGAACTCCAGAAGCCTAGTTTGCGGATGTTGTTTCCTTCAGACCTTCCCAGTTTCTCAGGATATGATTTAGAAACTTTTGATTTAAGGTAGCAGTGTAAAATGTATGAAAAAATAGGAAAATATTCTGTGCAAAGAAAAATATTGTTGAATTTCTTAAGTCCTTTAAAATATATAATATTACATAACAATATTAGTGTGTCTTTACGTGCATTTTTTAAAGAGGAATCTTTATCATTAAGTCGTTTCTTCAAAAATACTAACATATATCCTGCATATTTCCTCTTACGATTTTCAAGCTACGCAATTAGTAAGAAAAGGGGATTCGCGAGTAAATACAGTATATACAAGGTGTACCATAAATGTTGCGACAAACTTCTAGGGGAGGTAGGGCACATCATAAGGATTAAGAATTGCATAGGATCCTATACCCGGAAATGTCAGGGGTAAGTGGTAGCAGAGGTAGAAGATGGGAAAGGAAACAAGAGAGTGATTAATTTTAAACATTTATTGGACATGAATACAAATGGTGTTTCGACAGCTTGGATGTTACAACAGATGCTCGAAGTTTTCACCATCAGACGCCAAACATGCCTAACGTCGGCGGACCACTGATTGCCGAACATGTTCAAACACACGGAGAGTTTCTTTGATTGTAGCAGCTGCGCAGGCGAGTCAAAGAATCTCTAAGGATCTAAGGAAATCCTTAGAGATTCTTTAGGCGAGTCTTGCCACGAGATCCATTTCAGTATCGTGATACACGATACTCTTGATGGTGCCCCACAAAAAGAAATCAAGGCTCAATAAATCCGCTCAGCGTGAAGGCCAGGGAACCGGTCCACCATGCCCAATCCATCGATGCGGTAATGATCTGTTCAAATGGCTACGAACTTCCTGTCCAAAATGAGCAGACGCTCCATTATGTTGGAACCACATGTTCACAAGCTCTTCGTTCGCATAGCGTTCCATGCTCTTCGTATAGTGCCTACCGCTCGAATGAGGCAATACTCATTTTCCACTAGAACTCTCCTGCAGACCCCCCTGGCGGCGTACAGTGATGTTTCTGGACATGGGGTCCTATGCAATTCTTAATCCTTATGATGAGCCCTAGTTTCCCTAGAAGTTTGTCGTAACATTTACGGTACACCCTGCATATGTTATCGGCAGCGTATGAAAGCCAGAATTCTGCAGAATATCTAAGTGTTTTATAAAACGGCGAAAACCGACCGGCAATGTATAAAACGATTAATATTTCATACATTTCTTAGGCATCCTATAGAATGCCAATTGTCAACCGGAAAAGTACGAAATACAAGCACATCTTCGATTCATTTCGAATATTCATATATTTAATACATTCATACATAATGTTTACATAATACGTACATTTTAATACATTCATTCCATAACTACATACATTTCAGAGATTGTTTTCTTTAGTAAGAAAGGCATAAATTTTGTTTTTCACAACTTTAATTTTTCTTTACGTATTTTAAAAAAGTTTTTCAATGGCACTTCTTGAATATTTTTTCAAAATAAAATTTGTATTTCTGAGGAATGCACGTCTTTTAAATAATAACCTTATCACGACCTTTTACATACTTTGCCTAACTAGCATTTGTCATTCTGCAGGAAGCCTAGGTGAAAAGTATATAATAACTCTCATATGTCATATTTTGCCTAAAAACGCCAGGTATTCTATAAAATGCCGACGTTTCATACATTGCCGGCAATACATATATTAAAATAAATCACGAACTGTCTCTCATCTTTTTCATCACTGCCCGCAAACTTATCGTCACCACACCTCTAAATTTATGATCACCGTCATTTCCTTAACTGAGAAACAAAACCATGAAGAATCCAGAATTGAATTCTGTAATTTTCTTTCCAGAAAAATGCTAATGATAGAAATGAGTAACAAGCACCTTTTTTTTTTTTTTTTTTTTTTTTTTTTTGTATAAGGATTTTTTAGATTAGATACCTCAACGAAGAAACTTGCAGTTTAAGGGTCTTCAATGAATTGCCCCAGATAGTCAAAATTAGAAGTACTTACCGCTCTGAATCACAGATCCCCCTCCGTGAGGACATTGAGCGAGAATGTCGCAATGCTGTCTCCCAGTGAAGAGCTGAGTGCTCGGATGCTATATTGCCCAACGTCGGTGGCAGCACATTTCTCAATGGTCAAGGAGCATACTTTGCCAGATTTTGTAATTTTGTGGTGCGTGCTCTTCTCGTCCAGTACTTTGCCATCCTTTGTCCAGTTCACTGAAATCCACATATTACTTGAGAAAACATGAAATTCTCATTTGATTATAGCAAATATCGAAGATACTTTTACCAAAGCATATTATTTCCATTATAACTACTGAGATCTCTTATAAAAGCGATTCTCAACCAAGGGAAATTTAATAGCGTCGGGGGGGGATGCGATCAATTTTTCATTTAGCTGTTAAGTATTTAGTGTTAGTTTATGAATATAAAAAGCTACTTTGGGTCAAGTTTTCGTATTTATTAAAATTTATATACTTTTTCGTTTAATTTATAGAAGACATTAAAAACAATCTAAATTTAAATAAATATATACGTATTTTTAAAGTTTTGTAAAGGAAAGGAAGATGATCGGCTAACAGTAGTGAAAGACAAGGGCGCTTTAACGAATAGGCCCGCTGGGCTCTTGCCCGGGGGACCACAGGATCATAAGGGATTCGTGCTAATCCATTTACGCTAATTCCATTCTAATCCATCCATGTCATTTCTGTGAGTGGTTATCGTCTCATCACAGTAGTTTGACCAGCGTTCCATAAAGCTGTTAAGGTAGTGTTGAAATGGATGCATAGGGTAAAAATGGTTGAGAAGCACTGCTAAAAAACCTATACTGCTGTGAAATGTTGAAGTAAATGAGACTGTTTCTACTTACTTTTCAGATACTGAGCTATTAATTTTATTATCTCTTAATTTAGTTCACTGATACTAATTCTTTTTAATGCTTCGGCATATTTTTATATACATCTACTTTACAATTAATAGTAATTTGAGGATAATACCTTTTTTTTAACAAGGTGTTCTTTAATAGCATTCTTTTATGAATGAATTGAAATTTCACACAACGTTTGGCCGCAAATTACGAGTTAAATTTTTAAATTTGCCTCATTATTTCAATTATTTGTTGCATTTAATATTGTCCATTCACATAAATTACAGACCATAGATTATACTTCTGATAACAAGAAATGTGTTGAGTAATGATGTTGTTTTCCTTCATTAAAAAATAATAAATTTTACAGATTGAAACATTTGCAGTTTATTTTATTTTATTAAAGAAAAAAAAATACTAAATCGTTTTTCAAAGCTTTTTAGTAGGATTAAAACTTTTGCAGTTTATTTTATTTTACTTATTTTAAAGAAAAGAAACAAGACGGATACTCATTCAAGTAATCTTATAGTTTCTTATTAGCTTTTTTAATATGAATTACACTTCCCCTCTATCAGAGTGGTATAAGACAATCTTGGATCATTTTGCAGATAGTTTTATGCATTAAAATTAAAAACAGCGAAGTGAGGTGATAACTTAAACTGCAATACTCCCTAGTAGAAGGGGGCTGCCATCTATGAGTTACATTTGTTAACTATATAACAAACTATTCCTTCCAGCTATTGATTACTTTTTCTAAAATTGCATATTGTATTTTTTAATATATAATTCTCTCTATCAGTTAAATTATACCCTATCATCATAAGATATAAAATTCGTAATGAAAGAACTGAGTATATACACTAAAAAGAACATAAGTAATAATAAATAAATAAATAAAATCGGCTTTGCATTAAAGTTAAATAGAGCAAACCGAGGTAAAAACTTAACCGGCGATCTACTTTCTAGAGCTGCCATCTATTAGTTACAGTATTAACTATGTAATAAATTAACCTCCCAAATATTCACATCTTTTTTAAATTACACATTGTATATTTTAATATATATAACTCTTTGTTAGTTTAATACACTCCTCATAAGATTCTTAGTGAATGAATTAAATATAGACAATAAAAAACGTAAATAATAATAACTAAATTAACAAAATCGGCTTTTTATAAGGTATGAATATTATATTTTTTGGCTTGATTGAATATATAAATACTTTTTAATTATTCAGACTAATTGAAATATTCGAACATTTAAATCAGTACAGTTGACAAGTTTTAGGTATCCATTCATAAAAGAAGCGATTAAAAATTCTTAAATTAATGATAATAATTAGATTAATGATTAGTTTAAGAATAATAGTAACCTTTATCTGCATCCTTCTCTAATTCAGCTGAGAAAGTTACTGGCTGATTTTCGTGAACTGTTTGAGATTCAGGGAATTTCTTGAATCCTGGTCCTTTAAGAGGTTCATTAGGAACTAGAGGGAAATAAAACAGTACATGAATTTTGCTTTTAATGGCAAATGAACATTTTACATTGAAATAAATTACATACAGAGGCAGACCTACAGCTACCAAGGCCCGGGGCGAAAATCTCCCTGGAACCCTCTTTATTGGAATGACCACCATAGAAAATGCCAATATAAATATATAATTAACTTACATTTAATTAAAATTAAAAAGTTAAAAGGATTTAGAAAACAAACAAATCTTAAGATAGAGACAGAAAAGCTTATTAATCCGTCATTTTTGATGATTTAAGAAAGTGTCTTTAACTTTGCTGTCAATAAAAAACAGCTATTTTTTTTTTTTTTTTTTTTTTTTTTTTTTTTTGCGAGTCTTGACATCTGCAAAATTTTTTATTGTTTCTTCAAAATTAATGCTTTCAGCTATTGTATTTTGAATGGAAAAAATTGCCAAACCATTAGGTCTTACTTGGCTCACTGTTGATCGAAGATAGCTTTTAATCAATTTTCTAAAGCCTTTTGCAAGTGCTAAATATAAGTTAATGATTAATTCTTGATGTCCATTTCCTGAGTAAACTCTAACATTTTCAATACACACCACTTTTTAGCTTCATCCTTTTTTATGTTCCTACATATGGGTACTTATACCTTAACATTTAAGGTCCTTAGGAGGCCTTCCCATTAACAAAGGCCCAGGGCAGTCTGCCCCCCGCAAGCCCCTCGGTATGGCCCTGTTTTCAAAATTTTTAACACAGATATTTTGAAACTCACTTTATTAGGGATAGTTTATCGGATTAATTTATCTAATATTAAATATATATTTTAATTTTTTTATATAAAACATGATTAATTCGAAAATACACTGAAATTTTGGTATAAAATATATTCACTTCAGGGTATATTTCGACGAATGAAATTTTAGAATATATGGTTATTCATTTCATTCATTACCATACGAAATTTGGCTTCAAGAATCAATACCTAATCACAAACTTCTTCAGAAATTGGCAAAATTTATTCATATTAAAATCAGAGCTGTTGGTGAATTTTTTGATAGTTTAAATATATGCTTTGACTAATATGAAAAATACTTAATTCATGAAACAAAATTTATTAAAGAAATTTAAATTTTCATTCGGTTGAAATTGTGAAAAGTAAAGTAACGAAAGTAAATACAAAAATTTGACAGTTCAGTACTAAAATGAAAAATGATAAACCAACCTAAAACGACTAGAGTACAACTGCTGAAAGCTTCTCCAGCGTCATTAAACACCTCGCAGGTATATATTCCTGCATCTTCAGGGAATATTTCAGGTATCACTAATTTGTAATCATTGCCCTCTGTTTGATATACAAAATCTTTGCTATTTTTGATTTCTTTATCGTTGTGGAGCCATACAACATCGAACGGAGATTCACCTAATAAATAAAAAGAGAAGTTTCTTAATTTTTGTTCATATTACTTAAAAAGACACACAAAAATATGAGATTTTTTTTCTCATTATTTTTAATAGAATTGTGAGTAACAGAAATACTAGCAATGAACAGTCGTTGCCTTATAAATAACCGTTACTACACTACAATTTTAAGCACTAGTAGTGCCATCTATTGTTGAGTGTGTAAACTAACATAATACTTGAGAATATTTTAACAGCGGTTAAGTGTAGGTTCATTACAACTTGTTTGAAGAAAATTTGTTTCTTATTACTTATATTATATATATATCATTCTTATCACCCAAAATATTGAAAAAGTAAGTTTAAATTTGAGTAATTTAGCATTCTTTTCCTGCACTGGTGGTTGGTTAATCTTGCAGCCATTTGCTCGAGGACTACATGGAGAAAAACAGGATGACTTCATTCCTGGACTTTAAAAGTGTTTTTCCTTTCACAGTTTAATAATAATAATTCTTCAGTTTATTTTTCTCAAAAAAATCCCTGCGTGTGAAACCGGTAGAAAAAGAATTTCTACCAAAAAAAAAAAAAAAAAAAAAAAAAAAAAAAAAAAAGGGTAGTTTAAGTCCACTTTAATTAAATCTAAGTTGAAGAAAGAACTTTGACAAACGATGTAGATTTCTGATTTAATATGTTTGGTACATGTAGTAGCTTATTTATACAAATTTACTTACATTGTAAACAATGTTAAGATTTAACTAAAAAAAAAAATAACACTGATTGACTTACATTTTACAGTGCATGAAAGTGTTGTTGGATCACCATCTTTGACAATGACGCTAGACACGTGCTTTGTGATCCTTGGAGGTTTGCCAGCTCCACCCTTGGCAGGTTTTTTCTTTTCCATAGCTGGAAAAAATATTCACATTTTATAAAAATTTGAATACTTTTGAATTTTACGTATTTAACTGTCTGATTTTCTTCATAAAATTTTGTAGCAATTTTTTATATATTCTGTAATGTAAGATACATGTACTAAACTGGCGTCTAATGTATCAGCTTAAGAATTTTAAAAGATATTTTTGCATGGAATATTTGTAATATCAAAAAGAAATTTTAAAACATAACTGGATTACTAAAAAGAGGAAATAGCCAAGATAAATTAAATATTTAATTATTAAATTAGACGTAAGATGGTATACATTATAATGTATTAGTTTCGCAAATAGCTTTATGAAAAAGAGGAAAAATACTACGTTTTGAATACACATAAATCCTAATCTTAAATGGCTTGAAATACCTTTACAGTTTGAACAAATTTGCTTTTTTAGAAAGTTAAAAAATTACTACGATTCATTCTTTATGTATTCATTATCTCCATGAGCACAGAACAGCGGAACATTAAAAAATAATTAATTAATTCAACTATTCAGAATTTTACCTATACGTCAAAGATAATCGTTCGCGAAATACCAAACATTCCACACTTATTAGATAGATTTAATTCTTAATCATTCATGCTAGTCCTTCCCATAAGTGTCAGCTCAAATATTTGTAGCAGCTTGTAGCTGATAGCTAAATAACAACTAAAATGTTCTTCATATAAGTTTGCTCTAGAAAACCTTATTTATCGTGGTAATTAAAGATAAAATCACGACAAAAGTTATAACAGATATGTTTCGACACATAGGTTTCTTCTTTTTGGTAGAGGTGGTGTATTTAATTATGGCAAAGCACACGAGGGCTATCTGCCTAAGGGGAGGGATGCCTTTCGTGGAGGACTTTCTAAGGGAAACTGGCTCGTATACACGTTACACACGGGGAAAACCACGAAAACGCCCATGCAGCCAGCCCGTTCGCGGGATTCGAACCTCGGACCGAACTACCAGTGTTCAGCGACTTTACCGCTCGGCCGCTGGTGGGCCTTTTTGGTAGAGGTATTTTGATATACAATATATCCTCGGGTATTCCGCCCTAGCTTTTTAGCGCTAGGTTCTGAAAATTAAAAAAATATTCGCATAATTTTCTCCATCCTCTACTGTGAATAGTTTTCTCTTCTGAGAGCTAGTTTATTGGTAAATTTTATTATTCTCTTGTTAGTTTTTATTTTTATTCAATGCACACAATTAGTATTATCATTTCATCCATTTATTTCCCCTTCCGTTTATTATTTGAAACATATTCTGTGCGGATTCTTCAGTAAGATATCCGGATGTGGCAGGTACTTGCACACTAATGAACCTTTCCAAAGAAGCGACTTTACCTTACTTTTATTATTTATATTCAGCTTATTGTAGTCATATTGACTACTGATATTTTCGATCTTTCGAATTCCGGGTCTTTTGTTCGCTTTCCTTCTCCTTCGTTCCCCTGATATCTCTTAGAAACTGCAGTCAAAACTCATTTATAAAGGTACCTCGGGATTTACAAGAAAACTGAGCCAGATACATCATGCTTTATCGGGTCCGTTACCGTCAGATATCAGTTCAATATCTGTCATATATTGTAATATTAGTATTAATACGTATTCTTATTGCAAAGTGGAAAATTATGTATATTTGCTTCTTGTAATAGCTAATAATAGTTGATTATTCATCATAACTGTGCTCAACTAAAATTTTTATTTTGAGATGACCAGTTGGTTAAAAAAACAATTCTAAACTAAATTGAAACAACTAAAACGTTAAACTCTTTCCCCTGTTTTAGAATTACAATAAATAAGCAATTTTTACTTTACAATAAAGTTTAAATTTCAAATATGGTACATGAAACGAGATTAAAAATTGTTCACAGTGAATCATAAACTGTTATAGATTATCATGATTAGTACGTAACTTAATATTTCCTAAGTATTTAAAATTATTTGCAATGAGATTTGGTGTAGCATTTATAATTTTTTCATATTTATATATAGTTTTTAAGCTTTCATTTTAAAACCAAATTTTATTAATTTTCATGTGATATGATTATCATATTCAATTTTAGATACATCGGGTACTTAGGATTATTTTCTTTTTAAAATTCATTATTTTCTCATATTTAATTTCTTTTTATTTAGAATGCGTATAACATTAAGTTACAATCAAAATAAGGTTGGAAAAAATTACCTTAAATTTCAAATACGGTACATGAAACGAGATTAAAAATTGTTCACAATGAACTATAAACTGTTATAGATTATCATAATTAGTACGTAAATTAATATTTTTGATTACTCATAACTGATTTCGAATTAAAATTGTCAGTTAATTGTTGAGTAGAAAATCTATCAGCTGAAATAGGGAAATTTCATTTCTAAAATGTTTCATTCGAAAAGCATCACATAAAGTCGCAGAAAGCTAACTTACGAAGAATAGTTAATTTTCCAGTGGTGGAAACAGAGCCTAACGAATTGGTCGCTTTGCAGACATAAACACCTTCATCTTCTGGAAACACTTCACCAATGCTTAGAGTCGCTACTTTGTTTTTATATTTCAAGTCAATGATGTCTGACGAATGGAGTTGCTGCAAATGTAAAAGAAGATTTATTTAGTTTTGAAAACGTGTCTGATATGAAGAAAAACAAGCCAATATTACATTTCAAATTAGACAAAAATGAATGTTAGATTTATTTAGATTTATTATTTATCTACTGATTTATAGTCTATAAATTATATTAACTCTGGAGGATATATGTTAACTCATTTGTGGAAATATAAAGCTACAAAGATCAACATAATGATAATGCCATTAAATGCAAAGAATTAATTAAAGATTTTAAAGTTATTTGTGTAATTAAATGTTTCTTTTAGTGATATTGCTCATGAACAAATTTTAAGCTTCTAGGAAAAGATAACTTCCCATAACAAAAAATCGTAATAATATTAAACACATTAATTATATACGCATATGATCAAACTACGGTACGCTTTAATTTGTTAAAAACACTGATTTTAGGCATGTAATTTTGATTAAAAAGTTCGGTTTCGATAATGGCAAAGCAGTTGAACGCCATCTGCCCTAGGAAAGGGATGCCTTCGTGAAGGACTTTTGAGGAGAAACCGGCCTCGTATGTACGTGTATATTGGGGAGGGCTACGAAGGCGCCCATGCAGCGACTCTATCATGCCGACCGAGCTACCAGCGTTCAGCGACTTTACCGCTCGGCCGCTGACGGGCCGAAAAAAGTCCTCAAACATAGGATTTTTTTAAAGCAGTTTTAATATTACTTTGGCAAAACTCAGTAAATATAAAATAGAAATTTTAATACGGCTTTTACAGAACAAAAAATTTCAATGAATGAAGTATTAGATGAATTTTAAACGTTTAATATGGCGTTTACAAAACAAAAACAACAAAAAAATTCAGTCAGTAAAATATTAGTTACAGTTCAATAAGTTAAATATACACGTTCTATTTTCGTGTGCAAAATTCGAAGAAACATACATAGTTTATTAAAAAGTCAAGTTCCATGTGTCTAGTTACAATTCAATAATGAAATTGACTGAACCAATATAGAAATGTATTAATTAACAAATACTAATCATATTTATAATAATTAACAAAATTTTAAAAATGTTACTAATTATCATTAATAATTAATATAGCTGTATAATTACTATATTAATATAGTAATAGTATTACTAATTATCATTAATAATTATATGTTAGTATTAATATGATACTAATGATCAAAATATTAATTATTAATTATATATGTCTACACTAATTAACAAAATGCAAGCAAATACTAATTATAAAAATGCAAGCAAAGGCCATTACATTTTTAGTTGATGCTGCCTAAATAAGACTGAAAAACTAGAGAACTTTTATTGCTTAATAGGTACTGAAGATTGATCCAAGTCCGTCAGATCGTTTTTGAATATAATCGCGAGTTTTGAATATAAAAGTACGAAGTTTTTCATACTGGTTAATTAAAACATTTATTCGTTTTATTGGTTAATTAAAGGATTTTATTGTGAGCATACAAACATTTAAATTTATCTTTATAAAATCCTTCAATTTTGAATACTGAAATTATCTTTATAACTTCCTTTATATCTTTATAACTTATTTTGAGAAACTTCATAAATGTAATTAGATGTCTGAAGTCGACAACAGAATGTCTGTAATCATTTTTATATAACGTTCTATATATCTGATTATCTCAATGAATTCAGCTGTTATAAAATCAAGCAAAATTTAATATTAGATTAACTATATTAGATTTAAAAATATGATATTTCCTAAAAACATACGAAACATTTATCTCTTCCTTAATGAATAAAACCTCCTGTCAAATTCTTATTATAGGAAAGAGATCAGTATGAAATTGCCTAGAAATGCATAAAGTGCTTTCGTCCGAAATCAGCGCCTTGCATAAAATTGACTTTTGTCTATTTTCAAAGTTGTCGTGCTTCTTTACTCAGGCAGTATGAATTTGTTGAAAGTATATTTTAGAAATAAAAATAATGTTTTAAATAAAAAATAGCCATTCTCCGAGAAATGCTCCCCTCCCCTTTTTATACATATTGTATAAAACCTGAATTATAAGTTTACAATACTGTAATTCAACTCCGTGAGTCAATGCGGCTATGAGATAAGTGTCTCTCAAATAATTTGCTAAGAGGAGTGAATTATTTGTGAGAATATTATATTTGAGTAACGTATGATTTTTCAGTTAATCAAAGATATATTTAAATTATTCATGACAACAATACATTTTTAATGTCCGACTCACATTTGTTTCGGAAAAGTGAAAAAATTATTAGATTCTAAAGAACCGTTAAACCTGAAAACCAAAGGAGTATTAGGTGAAGAGGAGTATTTAAAAGGAATTAGACTATTAGATGAGTTAAGGCATTAAAAAAAGTCCGATGAAAAACCATAATTTTTTTATAACAATACCTGACATGACTACCGTATATTTCATTAGAAAACAAACCTAAGGTGAATAAGATAGTTTGAATGTTTTATCATATTGCTACATTTAATTTATAAAGAAGCTTGGTATTCTTGTCAATAATTCAGTCATACTTACTTTTATGAAAATTTATAATACTTTATCATATAGTAACGTTTGATATAATTCAACATATATTTCTGTTCTATTCAATATACACATTTATGCATTTCTATTATTATTTATCACATATTTCTATTATAAAAAATTCTAAAGTAAAAATGCTTAAATAGCATAACATTTTGCTGTATTACTCGTACATTAGAAAGATGCACGTCATTCTTGTTAATAATTTTAAGGTTTCCTTATTAATCTTTATGAAGAATTTTTTAAATGTTAAAAATTACATTTTTATATCATACATATAAAATTATTTGCATAATGAGTGATTTTTGAAGAACACAATATGAAAGTAAATATTTTACAACAATATTGTCGAAATAAAACCCTTGTAAAACGGTTGCAAGGATTCTTCCCACCATTATGCATGCTCCTGTAAAAAGTTTTTATGGATCGAAATCATTTATTAAAAATTATTACTGATTATTTCAGTGAGAATCCATCACCAGTTAATAACTCTCAGTGAAACATTTTTATTGTCGTGCAAGTAATTAAAAGAATATTTAGCTTCGATACTACTCGACTAATTGACGATGCTATACTCAGTATTCTTCAAATTTTCTTTGCGAAATATTTCACTTAAAATATATTTAAAATCTTAAAAAAGAACCCATTCATTACCTCATCATTTTTGAACCATTCAATCTGGGGGTCGGGATCACCAGTGACAACACATTTCAGGGTCAGAGGATCACCATCTTTGATCTTGAGGTCAGTCAAACCTTCTTTGAAAGCAGGAGCAGTCATCGTTGTATCATCTGGAACTGTAAAAATTTTGTGTAAAAATTAAATTATTCAACCAACAGATTAAGGACTGAAAAGTCTGTATAACTAACAATAAATTTCAACTAATGTTTTTTATATAATTCTGAGCGGAAAAAATATAATATATCTTTACATGAATATTCATACTAAGCTTCTCAATATATTTTTGTTATTTATTTCGAGGTTGTTAAACGAAAAGGCTGTGACCAGGGGACGGCTTACATTTGGTAGTTAAGATGCAGCTTTCTTGTGGATAACCATAAATAGTGATGCTCAAAAATAAAGAGAACTAATACACTCGTGGTAAATGCACTTTACTTTCTAAATTATAGAATAAATTATTCTTTTTTTAAGCGCTTGTGCATAGACCTGCCGTATGGGATTAATGTTAAGGAATTTGGCTGCTACTGCCTTGGGCTCGGGCTGGAATTTTGGAGAAGGCATGGATTTTTGCATATGATGTCCTTGCGGCATGGAGGCTCTTAAAATATAATCCAAATGTAGCAACAAGTCCTCTGGAGAAGTTGATGAAAAGAGAAGTAAAGAGAAAAAATAACAGTACTTGGCAGAAGAAATAAATATTGTTAAGTTTCCGTTATTTTTCCAGTAATTAAAGTACTTGAGCCTACTCCTTTTTTTTTAATCTCTTTTTTTAATACAAGACTTTAAACCACTCCAAAAGTAAGTAAATTTGCAGCTAACGAAAAAGCAAAATGATACTTGTTTCGTTGTTTTCACAGCTGTAATTATCGTTGTTATTATTGGTACTTGTCAATTGTCATTTTTGTCAATAATCTTAACGATAAATTTAATTAAATTAATCCTAAAAAGGAATTATATGTCCGAAGTGAAATCTGTGAATAGAGATTTTTCCCGAGTTTGGAGTACGCACTTGAGTAGTTTTAAACAGTTACTTTTCTGTAAGCGTGTGCAATATTAGAATTTTCATTTAGATTTTAATCACAAGGTAGATAAATTTTAGTTGAAATTGTATACTTTTCGCTTTTTTAAAATTAAATTTTGAATTTACTTGAACGAAAACTTGCTTATGACAACATAAAATCAGGGTAAGTTGTTAACTTTAAATTAAAGGGTAGCTGAAGCTACACTTATCGTTTTCAGTCGATGTAATATTGTCACTAAAAATCAAATGCCAGTACTATTTATCAAGTGTATAAATATATAAAAATATACAGAAATCTTAATAAGACCTCTTCAAAAATTAGCAGAATATATACATATATATATATAGGGAGAGAGAGATAGGTAGAAATAGAACATAGAATTAGATTAATTAGAAGCAAAGTATTCAAACTTGAACCAATGGAAACATGTTCACTTCTACGAATTTTGACTTTTTCTCAGATTCTTATTTTGCTAAAGTAAAATTCGTAAAACGTTATAACGTACTCTCCAGCTCCCTAGTCGACGTCCTCGATCTGACAGGGCTTTCTCCTTCTGTGGTTGTTTTTTTCCCGTATGGTTTTTGCACTCTCTTCGTACTGGGCGGGGAGGACCGAGATGGAGAGGCACGGGGTGCAGGAGAAGGAGAAAGTCTGGAACCGTACGTGCTAGATGATAAGTAATCACTTTTCTTGGTCGCTGATGAGCTACTGTAAGACGATGACTGTGCTTGTCGTCTAAAGAATTAGAAACAAAATTCTAGTTAAATTAATTAGCCTAAATTCCCCTGACTTAAAGAATTATAAACTGTGAATACATTTATAAAAATAGCTTTAATAAATATATATGCAAAATTTAATATTTGAAAAAGTCTAGTTAAAAGCTAATACATTTTATTTGTATTTGTAACAATGCATTTTATTTCCATTATTTAAATATATTAAATAAATTCTTTTAAAAATTATACAACATGGGAAATGAAGAAGTAGAAACTTCAAAAGGAAAATGATATTAATGCCATTTTCAAAAGTTTAAGTGACATGCATAAATTTATTCTCCCACACGTTACAGCAGAGGTTCCAAACCAAGCAGAATTTTATACTTTCATGTAGGGACGGAATGCAGTCGGCCTTTCATATTCCAGTTTTGGTCTTTATCAATATTTTCTATATTTTTCTTGTTTAATTATAAGCTTTTATTTACTTCACACATGGTGTTTCACTGTGAGTAGAATTTTGTTACCCATTTTTAACCTACTTCCTGATAAGCTATTGAGTTTACATTTTATACACACAAATTTTGCATGTCTATGAGATGCAATGCCAGGAAGCTATTTTTTCAAAACTCGATTTAGATTTTTTTATTTAATGCTTAAACGGTTTTTCGTACATACCTATCTTTAACGCATAAACGGAAAATTTCAGTATCTTGCGTTTTTCAGCATCGAATACAGTAGGGGGGACTTTTCACTGAAACTTGTACGAAAATTGTAATTTAAATTGTAATTCAAATTGTAATTTAATTTGTATGAAGATTGAACTTTTGGAGAATTTTAAAATCGAATTAAAGTGAAAAATATTTTTCACTGAAACTTGCATGAAAATTGTACTTTAAATGTATAAAAAATTAATTTTTGGCGAATTTTAGAAAATCGTCCAGTTTTTTCGACTACTTAACATTCATGATTTTACTTTCAACATATGAAAATGTATTCTATAAAAAGTTTTGAAATTTTCACAGTGTATAATATAAATTTTCATGCCTTCTTTTACGCCATCTTTTAAAACAAAAACGATAAAAAAATATTAATTGAGCAATTTTCTATATATTTTTTTTAAAAAAATGTGTCGCAGTTTGAACCAAGCGGAAGAAAAAAAAAAAACGTTTTCTGAAGGAAAAAATACTTTTCCCCCTTTTAGTGCATTAATTATAACATCCGTTAACTGTTCCCCAGTTTTGAAGAAGAGCTTGGCAAACGAGTCCGAGGGTCTCCTACCCCTTTTCCCCTACCACTAATCTCTCGACAGGGCTTTCAGCCCGCTTTATATTTTGAGTGTACACCTGCCGCACAGACACTATACTTTTACAAAAATCTATCACTTCGGCGGGATTCGAACCTGGATCCTTGAGCATGGTACTTAGCTTCCCTTACCACTACCCCATCTCGGCAGTTCTATTTAGATTATAAAACACATTGAAAAGAATCTTAATATAAAAAAATGTATATGTATTTTTCAAGTTTGGGAAAGGAGAGAGGGAATAATTGTCTAGACATGGTGAAAGGTGTACATGGGGCAATAAAAAGTTGAGAACCACTGCTTTATGGCAAAAATTTCCTCAATAGACCATACCAAGGCAAGTAAATTTCTGTAAAATAAATGCGACATAAAAATACTTGGACTTACGAAGAAGAATATGACGATGATGACTTGTAATCGGAAGAATACTTGCTGGAGGAATAACCAGTGCTGTATTTACTGGAATAATCAGAGCTGTATTTGCTAGAATAGTCAGAACTATATTTGTTGGTGCTGCTACTGTAACCGCCAGTCCTACTGACAGAAGAAGCTCTGTACGTATCTCTCATTGGAGAGTACGTTGATCTGTAAGAAGATGTCTGTCCAGGAATAGGTGTCCCTGTAGGTGTAGGAGCGACAATGGAAGGTGTTTTCACTGGTGGACCCTTTCGATCTGTTGAGAAAAAACGACAATTATTTTTATTCCACAAAAAATTTGGAAACATTCTCTCTTTATAGAAAAATCTTTTTGTCTTACAACTTTGCATTATTTCTAAAATCTAAACTTACCTTCTACTATCACATGACACCAAGTTTCATCTTCCCCGAGGGGATTGGATGCCTTACAACTGTATTTTCCGGAGTCTTCAACAGTGCAACCGACAATTTCGAGAGTGACGACACCATCTGCATGATTGACATTATAGTCATACTTATTCAATTCCTTACCGTCTTTGAACCACTGCACCTGAAACAACAAAAATGATAACAAATAATTAATGCAATCGGCAATGAAAACAGCTAATAGTTTTGATTTGGAATAATTATGCTACAAACCGTCCCCCCCCGTGAAACTGTTTTACTCTCTACTTCACTGATAAGGAAAAAAAAAATGCAGTAAAATACTATGTTACAAAGAACTGTTTCGTATTTCTGTGTCAGTACTGTTTTTTGCTCATGTGCATGCAGCAGCGCCCCTGCCCCCCCCCACTTGACAGCGTAGTAAGTGAATAGCCCGAGACAAGGCCAACACTGCCCGAGAGATAATCATGGAGGTGTGAAATTTATTCTTACCTCCATGGAGATAACGGCCGGTGTACGGCTTTGTGCGTTTAGTGGCGCAGCTGGGAGGGAAGGGCCCCTGGGCATAGAATCCACGGGACATTTTCTTTCCTGTCCTCATTGCATTTTGGCAAAAAGAAGGAAGCTTGAAATCTTCAGTTGTTTGCAGTGCTTTCTGTCTTTGGTAATGTTTCAGTGTATTAAGTACGTATTTTGTGCAAAGAGACTAAAGATATATGATATCTTGCAAAACATTTAGAAGAAGAGAATTTAAGAATTCAATCAATATGAACATCAAGAACTGAACATTTAGATAGTACTGTATGCATACGGGTAGCGTGACAAATATATATTTCATGTACACTAATTTTTTAAAACATTTTGATTACAAAAGTATTTCGTTACTGAGTAATCAATAAATAGTTGCTGATTAATGTTGAAGGTATTCTCTTTTAAATTTAATTTAATAACGGGTGGATGAAATCTTTAAAACAGTGTAGCCAATCTGTTGAATAATGGCATTATTGACCTTATATTACTTAACTGATTCTTTAAAATATATGATCGCATTATAAAGCATTTTTACTAGCTACCAACACAGTAATCAATAACTGTTATTTATATAAAAGGAATGTTTGGAAAAGTGAAAAATCCATGCAATGAGCGTAAGTGTTAGTTCCTTAACGTTCAGGTCCTTCCTTTATATCTGTTGTAATTAGACCAATGTCTTCGTAGTTGAGATCTCAGTAATTAATCGATGTCTAATCCCAGTCACTAGATAGCCATAAAGCTGCTACCACACATCTATTTCTTTCAGATGAACAACTGTTTCAAACTATTTTTCTACTCGCTTCACCATTGAAAGTAAGACGCATGATTTTTTTTCTTCTTTTTGCAAAAAAATTATAAGTTTTCAACAACTAATCAGCTATCACCATCGAATTCTCCATCATCAACCATCATTTGTGAGGGATAACTAGTTTACCATTTACGTGGTAACACCAAAGTGATTCATAGTGACTGGCTGCTTTGTGTCATAAGAAAGTAGAACAATTGCGCAAAGCAGTTATTCTTCCGAAATGTTTTGAATGTGTGGTACGATCCTTAAAATCCTGTTTGTCAGCATTTACTATGACTAATGCTTCACGAAATGACTTTATTCGTCCATTTTATTTCAGGGGTCAATATTTTAAGGAACCGTTAAGAACAAATTTTTAGCATTCATAAAAATCCATACAAGACGATCTCTACAGACCTAGTATTAATCTTGAATTGTGTGCCAGAGTGAATCCATATTCCGTAGCAAGAACAGCAATACGTATAGGCTAATATTTCATAGTGCCCATGTCTTTAGATTGCTAACATATTTTGTCAGCGGCGTCTTAAACACTACGATTTGGCATTGGTCCTCCCCATTCGCCGTCGACGTAGTTTCAACAACGCTGCTTGTCTATGAAAGGCTTACTATCTCTTTCTTTGTTAAAAATTCAGTAAGAACTGTTTGATGTTATGATCTCAGAGATTTTCATCTCAAATAATTTCGGCAGTACAAACCCTGATCAGTACTGACCTGTAGAACAGGTGTCTTATGCTGTCATATCGTAATTAAAAATCGTATTGAACGTCTCTAGTATAAGTTGGGGAGAGTACAAAAGCTTGAATATCAAACACTTGATTGTATGTGAGATTTAAAGGATAAATAATAGTTTATGTTTTTTAAACCTACATAATAAGCCCGCAACAACTAAACGCAATTATTTTAACTTCATATATGCAGCTATTCAAAAAGATAGTGAAATTATTAGCTAATATTTAGGACCAATCGTCATGTTTGATTTATATATCATGAGTCATAATTTGATGAATACCCATCTTCTATTTCATTCTAACACATTGCAGTATGCTATTTCAGTCTGAGTTTGCACTTCCAGAAAGAACGTATTATCCATATTATTTTATTAATGAATATCTTAGTTAAAACATAATAAACTTCAATGGTTTAAAATTTAATAAACCTTCATACAAAAAAGGCTTAGTTAAGTGTATTTTATTAAATATTTGGAATAAGATCTTATCTTGTTTTAGTTCATTCTACTATTTAATTCAAGCTGAAATAAAGTTTAGTTAACTGCCAACCGATATAGAAGAAGGGGAGTAAATTATAAAGAAAAATTTAATTCTAATGACAGAGACTACATTTAAAATAACCGTACCGTGGGAGTGGGTCGTCCTTTCAAGCAGCAAAGGAGTTTGCACACAGATCCAGTTTGCATTATTCGAGGTCGGAGCTGGAATGTGAAACATGGGGCACTATCTGTGGGCTCTTCCCATAATTTAGGCTGTGGCATACGCTTCCTTACGGGTTCATCCAGGCGTACATGCGGGATGTCTCGTGGTATTGCTGTAAAAGAAGAAATATATGATAATTATTGAATCTAACACTGCTGTAATAATAAGAATAAAATCCTCCCTTAGCCGTTACATAACTATAAACACTCAACTTCAGCAGTTCTAAACATTCTCCGTTAGAAGTTTCTTCTATAGCGTTTCAGAAGACTATTATTAACAATTAAAAATTTTAAAATGTATATACTGCATTTCGTCACGTATTTCCCCCCTAATTTTTCAGCTTCAAGCTCTGAAAATTTTTTAAATATTCATGTAATTTTCTCTTTTCTCAGTGCATTCAGAGAATAAACTCCCCTACATTTTAAAATGGATTCGTCCATGTAGTAGCGGCTTTCATTTACTAACAAAGACAAACTTACGCAAACTACCTACGAACGTAACGCCGAACATTTCCCTTCTAACTGTTCAACTTTATGCCAACCTAACACAAGAACCGACTCATCACAGCAAAGCATACACGAACTGCCATTCAATTTATGTTTTCACCGTGTCAGTTCCACTTTCACCTTCTCTCATTATTTATTGGTGATTTGAGGCCTAAGGAGGCGCAGAAACAGCAGTAAGAATGGACGAGATTCAAGCTACAGGGAAATAGAAATGAAGAAATCTTGTTAGATACTGTCATTGTATTATTATGTATTCTTATTAGAATGTAGGTATCGTTCAAAGAAATAGTATTTTAGTTACCTGTAGTTTATAAAACGACTACTTTTTATTATGTTCTTACCGTAACCGCGTAGGAAATTAAATTAATCGCACAATTTTCCTATCTCGATTTTTGGGCTATAAAAATTGAACATACGGGAGGAAATACGGTACATACACGTACATACATCTCTCTATTATCTATCTGCCCACCAGCGGCCGAGCGGTAAAGTCGCTGAACACTGGTAGTTCAGTCCGAGGTTCGAATCCCGCGAACGGGCTGGCTGCATGGGCGTTTTCGTGGTTTTCCCCATGTGTAACGTGTATACGAGCCAGTTTCCCTTAGAAAGTCCTCCACGAAAGGCATCCCTCCCCTTAGGCAGATAGCCCTCGTGTGCTTTGCCATAATTAAATACACCAACACCAACCTATTATCTATCTATTTATCATACATATATGATGTCAATGATACTATGCAGACTGAAGGCGCCAGATTATGAAATAAATGCACAAATGGTATAGATTTAGACAAGCAACAAGTGTAGGAATTCAGGCTAAAAGAACAGACATTTGACGAAGGATTATGCATTAAAGTCAAACGTGCTTTTAATACTCAATACAGTTAAATGCTTTTAAAAAATAAGAATGCATTAAAGATATTCATTTATAATAAAATAATGTGTTCATTTTGACTTCCTTCTTACTAATCTAACTTCACTAATAAATTTGCTTTATTAAAACTTATCCGTAATTATTTTAATGTAAATATACGAGTAGATTATTTGCATACAGTTTAATATTGGTAATAAAATACAACCTATAAAATATATAACAGTTTAAAAAATATTTAAATTGATCAATTCAGATACGGATGTATAATACACGTATTATATATGCATATGAAAATGTCAAATTAATGTCTTTTCATTTAAAATTGTGCATTTAGAGTAAATTTATTAAAAAAATTAATTAAATTACACATACTTTCCTGTTTTTAAGCCTTCCTCACAAGTGTGATCTTTTAAAATTCAAATCAACCAATACTGAAAGCTTTATTAATGTTAATATTTTACCCAGGTTTTTACCTTCTATACAGTGCATAAGGTGAAGTAACAAAAATAAAGTTTTCAAACTGTTTTATACATTTGGTAAAACTTCAATATTTAATTGTAGTTACTTCAAAAATAAAGTTTATTTTACCTTGTACATTGAGGAAAACTGGTTCTTCTCTGAAACCGTAACTGTTTTCCGCTCTTATAATGTATTCTCCTCGATCCTCTGTCTTACATCTATTCAGAACGAAATAATAATCGTCATCTTGGTACCTCTTCATGTACTTAACGCTCTGTTTTAACTCATAGCCATCACGATACCTGGAAAATTGTATGCAATCATGTGTTGTAAGACGGCAAAGCAACAGGAAAGGTATAGGTATAAGCAAAGCGAAACAAATTTCAAACTCAAAATTTTTAAAGAAAAGTACAGTAATACTGTAAATTGCTCTCTTAATTTTTTAATATTATTCGTTAAAATATATTTTTGATAAATGCTTTAATTATAATATGTTAAAATGGAAAAAAGTAAAAATGTATTTTGAATTTGCTTGGACAAATATCTTTATCATTTAATAGATTTGAAACATTTTTATGAAATCATAAAGGAAATAATTTTTGCTTACCATGAAACAGTTGCAGGAAAAGCTGCAATGATACGGCAGTAGAATTTGGCTGCTTGTCCCTCGTAAACAAAAGTGCTCTGAGGACGAATTACGAACCTGGGTGCCGCCTGTCGGCGATCTATTAAAAAAAAAAAAAAAAAAGGTGTTTTTAACCCAACAATTATTGAAACTAATTTATTAGTCCAAAGGGGCATTCTCCCTGAAGGACTATTGTTTTCGCTTTGCGATTTTGCGTTGAATCACTATAATGTCCGTTTCACTTTTTCAAACTGTTTGCCACCAAACGTTAGAGTCCTGCATTATTTGAAGAATTATATGAAAAATCTGCATAAATGTATGTATTTCTCGCATTGTGAAAAACTCGGTACATAGAGCCATCAAATTTTGAATGACGTAATCCTCCTACGAATTTGGGTACGTGGAAGAACAAATTTGAAATTTGTAATTTATTTTATTATCGATTTCATATTTTGTAAAACTTTAACTAATTTTTTATTAATAAATTCAAGGATTTTAAAGCGAGCTATGGCAACACTCTACGGGGGGAAAAAACCTTTTTATCTCCAGCGCGCGGTACTGTGTATCGGAAATTCTAATGATAGGCTCATTTTAAAATTATTTTGCGACATTGCTATTGAACTGAATTTTATGGTTGTGCAAAGAACATGATATTTAATAAATAAACGTAATACACAAAACGTTAAAAAAACGCCCATTTGGACGTATTTTAAAATCTGAAACCTTTCAGATTTTTTTTGGGGGGCATGCTAGTTTTAAATATATTACACAATCGTATTAAAAATTAATTTGATTATATAGTAATTTAGAAGAAACTGGAGTAAAGAAATCGCAAAGAAAAAACTCTTTGGCTTAAGTGTGTATTTTCCTGGGGAGAGACATTATTATCAGATCTGAGGATATCTGAAATCTGAATTCTGAGCCTACTTCATTACAGATTCGTAATTAAGTTACCCTAGACTGATGAAATAGAATGCCAATTTGCCCCTCTTCTTATATCATTACTTTCGAGGGATTTATATTTATTTTAACTAACATTTTAAATTTTAAGTTCAGACTTTTCTATATAAGCCTTTATTCCCCTAATTGTCAGTGCCAGAATAGTTAAATGTTGTAGCGCGCGTGAACGCATGCAAATTTTATATGTTGAAGGAAGTAGTTAAAAGCCGAGTTTCGATAGGAAAAGGAGAGAGTTAGGCTCTAGCTGCCGTCTCTGCCATAGGTACGTTTGCTTATTGCTGCTTCAAGTGGCTTAATTGTATTGCCTTACTGCCACTAGTTTAGAAGAGGTTGAAGTTCGGGATCTCGCTGAGCCCTGTATGTTAGTTTAGCACTTGTTTTACATTTCAACTTTTAATTTTCAATTATTCGACTTTCAGTTACCGCCCAAGTACAGGCGAAGTTTGTTAGCGTCGAGTTGACGCATTGTAAATTTTAAAGAGTTAATAAAGGGTTGAACTCTTCTTCTGTGTAGTTTCCTGCTACTTCTGTATCCAGACAGAAGTTAACCCACCTGGACCCTACAACTTATAAGATGTATGTATGATAGTATTTACATATTTTATGTTCTGGTATAAAATAGCCTGAAGCAGGGATTCCCAACCTTTTTCTTGCATCGACCCCTTAAAGTTTTCTCTATAATATACAGTATATAACGTAATCATAATGAAAAAAGTTGCATATAAATAACTTAAAGATAATATTTAGATTAAAAATATCAGCAAAAGTTTCGAAAAAAATGGTCTGTTAGACTTATGTTTAATTATTGTTTGTGTTATAAATAGGTTTCAGAAACAAAATTACATATGTTGTGTAATTTGAAGAAAAAGGCTAGAGGGCGCTGTTGCTCGCTTAGTTGTAAGAGAATAAAGTTTGTTCATGTCGAAGGCGGCGGCCTAAGAATACGCTCTGTATATAGTAATTAAAATATTGTTAAAAATGTAAAAGTGTTAAAATTTGTGAACCCACTGAACCACCATTATCTGACTTGGAGGTGCACAAAAAATTATTAAATGGTGCATCGGCGTAAGGAATTAAGGCTTTGTGAAGATTTTAGGTGTTCGATCCAAGTGTTTCGATTTCAATGGATATTTCATATTCAAGGGACAATGGAATTCCAAATAAAGGTAGGGAAATCTTAAATTAATTATTTATTGATTATTTGTAGTACATTAGTAAGTATTTATTATTGCTGTCGTGGGTGTATTTAAATTAAATAAAATGGAAGAGAAGTTAGATAGATTGAAACGTAAACGTTCCACATTGAGATCGTCTGTTACTAGGTTAATTAAAGTGATTGAAGATAAATTAAAAATTGAAGGGGAGGAAAATTCGATTAAAGAATTACGAGAATTGTTTGAATTATTAACCGAAAAGAAAAATAATTTGAGAACGCTTGATGATGAAATACAAGAGTTAATTGATGTTAACTTAATTGAAGAAGATTGTAGTATAAGCGAAGAATACAATGACAAATGTATAATTGCTTGTAGTCAAATTAAGCAGTTTCTAGGTGCGGTTACCGCAGTACCGCCAGCGAGGAATCCCCAAAGTTCTGATTTAAACCAGTCTAGTGGTAATGGAATTTTGCATGTAAGTTCCAGTTCTAGTGGGAGTAGTACGCTGAAATTACCAAAATTAATGATTGATAAATTTTGGGGAGACCCCAAACAATGGAATGAATTTTGGAATAGTTTCGAAAATTCGATACATAAAAACGAAACGCTTTCAAAAATACAAAAATTTGTATACTTAAAAACATTCTTAACGGGACAAGCTTCGAATGTTGTGTCAGGCTTTGAGTTAACAGAAAGTAATTATGATAGTTGTGTAGCATTACTAAAGGACAGATATGGTCGAAAAGACCTGATCATTAATTCATTCATGAATAAAATTCTCAATTTAGAAGCCGTTAAAAATTCTGCTAACGTAAAGGCTTTACGTAAATTATATGACGAATTAGAAGTTTCGATTCGTAATTTGGAAACTTTAGAAGTAACTTCTGGCTCATATGGACATTTATTAATTCCAATATTATTAAAATTAATTCCGGACGATTTAGTTTTGGAATTTAATCGGCAAAGAGGATCGAAAGATAAAGTTGAAGTTTCGGAATTAACACAATTTATTAAAACGGAAATAGAATGCAGGGAAGTTTCAAATCTAGTATTAAGCGAAAGGAAAAATCCTGTGCCTCCGCGAGTCGATCAATCAAAATATGAAATTAGAAAACATGTAAAAAATACACCCACGGCTGCATTTCATACTGCAGTTAACCGAAAATGCATCTTTTGTGATAATTTGCATGAGTCATTTAAATGCGAAGTGAATGTTTCTGATAAATTAAAAGAAACTAAGATCCGAAAACCGCTGCTATTCTTGTTTTAAAAAATTTCATACATCAAAAAGGTGCAGAAATAAAACTAAATGTAATAAATGTGGCGGTATGTATAACAATGAATCGATTTGTACTAATAAATCCCTTGTAAACAAAAAGTTCGGAACAAGGTTATTCCAAAAAAACTGAATCTCTGACTTTGAATTCAAGTTCAAAACAAATTGACTTGTGAATAATTACAAACTGTAATGCTTGTTCTAAGTAACTAGATTAATTCTTGATCAAGGCAGTCACAGATCCTTTATAACGAAAAAATTGGCCGACCATTTAAAACTTACTACTCCAATCCGTTATGAAAGACTTTCTGTTTATTCATTTGGTGCGACGAAGGCAATGAATCATTCCTATCCGGTCGTTGAAATCGAAATTCAGAATTGGAAACAAAATAATAAAATAAAAATTGAATGTTTGATCTCGGATGTTATTTCCTCGGCGTCCATCAGTGTGCCTAGTAAACAAATTGCAGACTTCATGGAGCATATGGGGTTGCAGATCGCCGATTGCGCAAGAAAAAATAACATAGATGTTGAGATATTAATTGGGGGGATGAATTCTGGAATGTAGTTTATTCTGAAAGAATTAAAATATCTGAAGGGTTGTACGCAGTCAGTTCTGTGTTTGGTTGGGTTGCCGCAGGAATCGAGAAAAATAAAACAAACAAAAATTGTTCTGAAAATTTAGCGGTAATGACAAACACTGTTGTGTTGAAAGATTTAAGAGGTTTTTGGGAATTAGAACATATGGGAATTAATGATTCTGATGATTATTCCGATATTGACTGCGAAATAGGTAGACCAGTTTGAAAGAAATTTGCAGTTTAAAAACGGAAGATATGAGGCAAATTTAATCTGGAAATACAGTCAGAATAATCTAGGAAATAATTTTGAGGTAGCTAAGAAACGATTCGCAAACCTTCACAATAAACTAAGTAAAACTCCGGAGATTTTTCAGGAATATAAAAATATAATTGAGAACCAGATATTAGAAGGAATTGTGGAGGAATGTCCAAATAATGATACAAATTTGGGATATTTTATGCCGCACCGAGCAGTGATACGACCTAGTGAAACTACTAAGGTAAGAATTGTGTACGATGCTAGCTCAAGGACAGAGGACACGAATTCGTTAAATGACTGCCTTGAATCGGGACCTAATCTAAATCCAAATATACTAGACATTATGTTAAATTTTCGTAAGTTTAAGATAGCGTTTTGTGGAGACGTTGAAAAAGCCTTTTTGATGATAGGAATTGCTGAAGGTGATAGAAAATTTCTAAAATTTCTTTGGTTTAATGAAAATAATGACTCCTTTAAGATTATGCAAATGTGTCGCGTAGCTTTCGGTTTGACTATATCTCCTTTCATTTTGGCCGCCACTATAAAATATCACATTCGAAAATATAAAGATAAAATGCCGGACAGTTTCCAAATGTTAAATTCTTCTGTCTATGTCGATGACCTATATTTTGGAGCAGGAACGGTTGAAGATGCATATCGGTTATCTGTAGATGCGGTTAACATATTTAAGGATGCTGGGATGAATTTCAGAAAATTAAGAACTAATTCTAAAGCATTAAACGATTTATGGGTCTCAGATGGGATTAAGGAATCAGACAACAAATTAACTAGTGAATCGAATTTCTTAGGCATGATTTGGAATTCCATTGAAGACGATATAAAGTTAAATTTAAAAAATTTAATTGA